GATGGGATATGGAGATGATAGAGACCCTGTGACTCATGTCCTGTGCCAATCATCTGTCTCGTGTCGCAGTCCTGTATAACAACATAGTTAGTATCAAAACGAATAGAGCAATTTAAAGAGCGTTTAAGTTTACTGATAGACACGAGATTAAAGGGACAGTTGAGAGTATAAAGCACAGAGTCCAATTCTAAGGAGGGGAGGGGTTTTGCACAACCAATAGCTTGAACATCGGCTTTAGATCCATTAGCTAAAGTAACAGGGGATAAAGATGCAGTATTTGTAATCTGAGTAAGTAAACAGGGGTTACTAGAAATATGATCTGAGGCACCTGAATCCAAGACCCAAGGTCTTAGAGCGAAAGACTGAATAAGGCAGGCAACTGAATTACCCGTTTGAGCGACGGAGGCAATGGATGAAGAATACTGCTTACTGGTCTGATACTATAAGTATTCATCATAATCAGTACTTGTGAAAGTTAAGGAGGGTTGAACCTGCACTGTAGAGGACTTAGAATGAAGATTAGAGTGATCAGCCTGAGCAATATTAGCAGCCCGGGTAGGTCGACCATGTAACTTAAAACATTTCTCTCTGGTATGCCCCCACCGATGACAGTAACTACATTTGGGTTGATTTCCTCTGCCACCTCGATCGCCCTGTTCTCTTTGAGTAAAAGTGTGGGACTAAGAAATAAGAATCGAAGAGTCATGAGGGGAATGCCTTGTAGTAGGGGAGGAAACACGAAGTAATCTGGTAAACACTTCATCAAGGGAAGGCACAGTAGATCCAGAAAGGATTTGATCTCGAACAGGTGTAAGATCTGGACCTAGAGCTGCAAGTGTCAAGACCATAAAGAACTTGTCCCGTTGAGCCAAATCTTCTGCCGCAGATTTACTAGCTGGTAACAGCAGATTGAATTCTGTCTTAAAGGAGGCCATCTTACCAAGGAAGTCGACATATTCATATCCTGTTGTTTGAGAAGAACTAAGTTGGACACAACATAATATAAACGTTGAATATCATTTGTATAGAGAAAGTTTAGCCTGACTCTAAATATCAACACAAGAGCGGTAAGATTTGTAAATAGGGTGAAGGGGGGGATCAATAGTTTGCCATAACATACTACATAACATAACATCAATTTTAGTCCAGGCAAACTTATCTGATGTAATATCGACAGCCTTAGTGGTCAAGTGATCCTCCAGACCCTGACCCATACGCCATAATTCGACAGAGCCAGCCTAGGATGAATAATTAGCGGTCCCAATTAATCTCTCAATGGTGATGGGAAGGAGAGATAAAAAAGAAAAACCATTTGGATGCGACTGAGAGGCTGATTTAGGGGGATCCATGAAGAAGGTCAGAGTGTCTTAAAGCCGACAGAAAAACAAAAGCTCATGCTTGCCAGAAAAACAGAATGCTCACCGGAAAAACAGATCTGAGCAGTGGCTGATAGAAACACAATCGACGCATGAGGGCGCGTGCAGCGGTGGCAGACGACGAAGCCACCTGGGTTATGACGACGATGAGAAGACGATCAGTCTGGTGTGATTAGACCAGATCCTGATCGTTGCTCGAGAATAGTCACCGGAAAAAAAATGCCGAGAAAGAGAGAAGAGAAAAAAAAAATTTGGAATTTCAGAAACCTTGCTCTGATACCATGTGAAGAAATACTTTGTTTTTACTTATATACATCACAATGAAATGTACAATGAATTTATAGCAAAAAACAAAAGCTTAATCTAGGAAGTAAATTGTTACATTCCTATTTTAACTAATGTAATTCTTAATAGCCTGGATCCTAACCTAATATAGAAGATAGTCTTTAATGAGAATAATCCTATTTCCTATTTTACACTTCAACATATTTAAAGAGTGATGTAATGATTAAAAAAAACTATATATATATATTGTCTTTTTAAAGAGTGATGTTAGATCTACAAATCAATCTCACAAACCTCGATGCAAAAGCTTGTCATTAGTCAACTTGCAAAATAGGTTCTGTCTATCAATTTGCGAGCTAACCAATGACAAGTTACCACATCGATAGTTATGAGAGAATGTTGTGAGAGAGAGTGTGGACCTAACATTATTGCTTTCTAAAAGGCATTGGTATGCTGCAAATATCAATGTTCGACCGATTCTTTAATATTAAATAAAAAAGTTAAACTATGTTGTGCATCAAGAATTTAATTCAAAGTCCTCTGGGAGCTAATAGTCTTCATATCAAGGGCCTTATTTCATTAACGTCTATTAGAGTAAGAGGAGTTAATCCTAGTATTTTCGACGATAGAATATGAATATAGGGGACTGAAAACCAAGGGGTAAAATAATTATATCATGATGACCATGAGATAATTAAATTAAAATAGCAATATTAAAAGTAAAAATTACAACTTGAATACTATTATTTTAATTTTATTAATTCCTATCTTTCTCTTTCTCTTTTTCTTTTCCCCAAAGAGTTGCATACAAACCAATAACTATCAATATTGCTCCCAGAATTCTGAAATAATTGAAATTAAATTAATTAGTTAATTATGAAAAATGATAGACTGATCAACAATAGTAATTAATAATTAATTCAAGAAATTAATTAAAATTTAAGCACACCCTCCCAAGTGCAGGACATCTCCTAAAACTAGAAGTCCCATAATGGCTGAAATTATTGTCGCTAAAGGTTTAAATGCTGTCATGAAAACTGGACTTCTCCTTCTCACCACCAATGTTTGAAGATAACATGTTATTCCAATTATCATTATTCCCTACACACACAACAACAACAACAACAACAACAACAAAAACAAAAAAAAGAAATTAATAAAGAAGTTAAAACCTTTCAAATAGAAATGCCGAAATAGCAAGAGTAAAAACTCCAATAATTTGTCCATAAAGCGCAAGCACATATTGACTCATGCCAAAATTTAGAGAGATTTTGGAGACTATGATGTAACCTCCCCAACAAAAGTTACAGAAAATACAATAAATATAAGGCTTCAATTCTTCAATAATCATCTCTCTTTTGCTTCTAATTTCATCCATCACTCTCCCTTCTTCCATTTTTGTAATTGCCATTGCAATAACTTTGGCAAGCTAGCTATATATGTATTGTCTCCTTGTAACCTATGAGCGTGTAGTCTACATCGTTTGTGCGGGCTCATCCTCAGCAGCCATAACAGGTAAGAAGAGTTAAATGGTCCTTGATATTTCCATCACCCTTCAATCCTACAATCTTCCAAAGTATCTATATTTATCCGATCTCATAATAGCACAGAAATGAGGTTTGAGGATATCTTTTAGTATTCTATCTTTTAGTATTCAACTAAGTTGAAAGATACTTAAATTTAATAAAATCAAATATTTGGAGATCATTATAGAACAATAATTTTATATGCAAATCAAATAAATAAAATTCATGATTATATATTTGTTTTTACCATATTGTTTGATAATTTGCTATATGTTCAGATAAAGGGAATTTGTACATGTGGGGAAATGCCAAAGACTCTCAATTAGGAGTTCCTGGGTTGCTAGAGGTACAACTGTGTCCTGTTGAAGTCAAGTTTGTAACGAAGGATGATGGATTGGGACCCCACAAGGTGTTATCTGTTGCAGTTGGTGCATCTCATGCCATGTGTTTGGTTTCAAGGTCATGTTGTTAAAGATGGTCTACTAATCGAAAGGTTTTCTCAACTCATATAGACATGACAAACAAGTATGTATCGTCTAACAGCTCAAACAAAGGCTAGAACAGATGTGTAGAATCTAAGGATAGGATAAGTTCTTTAAGTTACTAAAATATTGCCAAAGCATTTAAGAGGTGAATTCAGGTTGATGATTGGTTAATCAATAAGTAGAGCTTCACCTTGACAATTGCTGACTCATAACTAGTTTTGTTTGAATCCCTTTAATGAATTAAATTATCTGGGAAGACTAGAGAATTTTGACATTATAAGCTCTTGTCACAAATGCAAGTTACCTTCATAATCTCATGTAATGCCTGTTGTTCCCTCTCGTTGTATGCATCATCTCATTACATATTAGTTTATTGACATTCCTTTTTGTTGAAAGTTTATTGCAAACATGACTACTTTTTCCTTTTAAGTTTGATCATATTGCTCAGTTGCTTTTATCTGAAATCGGCATGAGAAAGATCTACAATGAAATTTTTATAAGAAAGCATGCAAATAAATTATGTTTGCTCAGGTGCATTTGATGCTCTACTACGAATATCCATTGGTTTTGTTGTATGATCTTTGATGCTCTGGAACTGTGGATAATATTATAAAATGATAAATTTAAAGTTGGGTATATTTTCGAGAAAAAATATAGAATATCATAAGATATCATGTCAGTCATATCACAAGTCCATGTATATATATTGTGTGAGAGATTTTTTTCTTTACCATCCATTTTTATAATCACTGAGATTGATAATTAAACTAAATGTCTATGTAGTATGCATATATTGATTTGTGATATCATTAATGCGGTATCCCATGATAACATAAACTTTTTTGTTCTTGAAGAAGTTAAAGGGTAGAATTCGCCTCAATGTTGGCAGATCTCATAGAAGTTAAGCCAGCTAAATAGACTATCACATTGCTGGAGAACATCAATTCACACAAAACTTATGTGATTTAAACTTTATGTCTCCTCATCTCTCTTAACTAGAATTATATAAATATTGAGCGAATTTATGATACAACTCACATATACCGCATGATCATCTAAGAAGTAAATATTTCATGTCATTTATGCACATCATAAATTTAGTAATTTGTTATACAGATGATGTGATACGACTCATATTCTAAGATTTTTCAACCAGCTATTCTTACAAAACTCTCTAATACAATCAAGAAAGCTTAAAGCAAGAGAAAATATAACCAAGAAAGAGTTATCACTAGAAAAACCAGAAGCAAAAATGAGTTCCAACTACTGATTTTGCATAGCGGCTGTTGGATCGAGATGGTCGGTTCTCAATCACAGTTCTTGTCATCATGAAAACATTTGATTGCTCTTCTGATCACACTCGATCATTTCCAGCTTTTGATACTCAAATAAGGTTTATTAATCTTCCTTATGTAGACCCTCCTTCACTGCAAAAATCTAAAGTTTCCAGAGAAAAACTTGTGACTGATCATAGAGGGAGTTACAAACCTCATGTTAAAGAAGCTATTATTAAGAATGTTCTTTCAAACACTAACTCAGCTCCACTTGCTGGGTTGGTGTTTGATATGTTTTGTTCATCAATTGTAGATGTGGGAAATTAACTTGGTGTTCCTTCTTATTTGTTCTTCACTTGTAATGCAGATTTTCTTGGTCTCATGTTGTACCTTCCAGGTCAAGAAGATGAAGTTGGAAGAGAGTTTTTAGCGTTTGATTCTGATTATATAATTCCTGGTTATGCTAATCCAATTCCTAGCAGAATTTTGCCTTTGTTTTTGTTTAACGAGTATGGTGGTTATGATACATTTGTGAAGCATGGAAGAAGATTCAAGGAGACCAAAGGGATTATTATCGACACTTACACAGAGCTGAAGGCCCATGCTACTAAGTGTTTGTTGAATGATCTTGAAGACAATAATTTACATCATGTTTACACAGTTGGGCCGCTTATTGATGTGAAGGGGGAGAGTGTTAAGCTATGTTTCGGTGATGATTCAGAAAGAGATGAGATCATGAAATGGCTTGATGATCAACCTGATTCATCAGTTGTTTTCTTGTGCTTTGGAGGCCTAGGGAGCTTTGATGAAGAGCAAGTGAAAGAAATAGCACTCGAGCTGGAGCAATGTGCTCACAAATTCTTGTGGTCTTTACGCAAGCCGCCACCAAAGGATAAATTTGAAGGGCCTAGTGATTACAAAGGTGATCTCCAGGAAGAATTACCAAATGGGTTCCTGGAGAAAACAAATAAGACTGGTTTGGTATGTGGATGGACAACACAAAAGGAAGTGTTGACTCATAAATCAGTAGGAGCATTTGTTTCACATTGTGGGTGGAATTCAGTCTTGGAGAGCTTGTGGTTTGGAGTCCCAATTGCAACATGGCTTATGTATGTATAGCAACAGCTTATTGCATTCCAAATGGTGAAAGATTTGGGATTGGTTGTGGAGTTGAGATTGGATTATAGAAATACTAGTGGAGAAGTTGTGTTGGGAGATGAGATAGCAAGAGCTGTAAAATGTGTGATGGACACTGATAATGAAGTGAGGAAGAAGGTCAAAGAAGAGAGTGAAAAGAGCAGATTAGCAGTGATGAATGGTGGATATTCATATGCTGCATTTGGACAATTGATTGAGGATATATTAGGAAACATGCCATGAATATATCAAAAAATCTTTGGAAACACATGAAAACGTTTTCTCATGTTAACTTGCTGCCAATGTTTTAAGCATTGCCAACTTCTACTCAAAATGTGATTACTTGATTTCTTTCTGCTTCAGTTTTATTTCAACCTAATCAAATCTTGTTTCTTGCTGCTTCTACTGCATAAATTAGAATCGAGAAAGATTGTAAATTTCATGTTGGGTTTAGTTTCCATGCCTCGAAGGGCTCAAACTTTCTTCAATGCTCAATCAAAATTGCGCCACTGCCATGTGATTAACTTGCTGGAAGTAAGGACATTTATCGTGTATGCTAATGAAGTGAAAATGTAGATTATTCATAGATTTGTTCTCAAATAAAATATGTCATGGATGACGATAATAAGGTGAGGAAGTGAAAATTGTTGCCATTTTACAAATTATATAGACCCTTAAACTGATTACAGGGTTGACTTAACCCGACTAGAGATAAAATTGAATAAGACAAGTATATTTGCATGATTGAATAAGACAAGTACATTTATCTGATTTGGCAGGAAATGCCTGTAACAACATGCAAGCTTGATTGGGTTGGGATTTGATAATATAATAATTAGAAAATAATTTACATATTTGAATATTAACTAAATAAAACTATAAAAGACAGGACAAAGAAGAAGAAATATACTTTCATCTTCTCTTATCTCTCATCACAACAGCCACAACCAAAAATGAAGAAAGTTGACCTTGTCTTCATCCCTAGACCAGGTGTAGGCCACCTAGTTCCCTATATTGAGTTTGCAAAGCGCTTGTAGGATTGAGATGATTTTTTCTCAGCGACTGTTCTTCTCATGGATTCTCCTTTTAGCCCCCCTCCTTCGGCTACACACACCAAATCACTGGCAGAATCTAATACTTCAATAAGGTTCATCAATCTTTCTCCTCCTGTTGACTATTGTCCTTCACAAGAGGTTCATATATCCCTTGAAAAGTTTATGACTGAGTATATAGATTGTCATAGAGCTTGTGTTAAAGAAGCTATTGTCAAGCATGTGCTTTCCAGTTCTAACTCAGCTCCACTTGCTGGATTGGTAGTTGATTTCTTTTGTACATCAATGATAGATGTGGGAAATGAACTTGGTGTTCCTTCTTATTTGTTCTCCCCTTCTAGCGCAGTTGTTGTTGGTCTCTTGCTGTACCTTCCAACTTGACATGATCGAGTTAGAAGAGAAATTGAAGAGTTTGATGGTGATTTGGTGATCCCTAGTTATGTTAATCCAGTTCCAAGCAGTGGTCTGCCTGACGTTTTGTTGAACAAGCATGGTGGCTACACTACATTTATGAACCATGGAAGAAGATTTAAGGAGACCAAAGGGATTATTGTCAACACATTTGAGGAGCTGGAATCTCATGCGGTTAAGTCTTTGAAGAATGATTTTGATCATATGCCACCTGTTTACATAGTTGGACCAATGATTGATCTCAAGAGTGAGAGTGAAAAGTTAGTTCTAGATGTGACAGAAAGAGATAAGATCTTGAAATGGCTTGATAATCAACCTAATTCATCAGTTGTTTTCTTGTGCTTTGGAAGCCAGGGGAGCTTTGGAGAAGAGCAAGCGAAACAAATTACAGTCAGATTGGAGCAAAGTGGGGTGAGGTTCTTGTGGTCTGTTGGATGATGGCTTGAAACACTGTCGTATTAGAACTTAATGGAACGACGTCGTTTTGATCCAAACTGAGAAAACAATCCTGAGCGTTGATGAAGAGAAGATCCAACGGCTGGAATTTTACCCTAATGTCAACCATATAAAAGCAGAGTTATTTTGGCATTTTGTATGCATTATTCATTTTGCAAATCTTTCTCTTCTTCGTTAAACACCATTTTGAGTCTGTTAGGGTTTCAATCTAGGTTGAGTGAATCTTGTAACTTGTTGATTGAGTGATTGGTTCAGGTCATTCTGGGTGTATTGTATACGTTGTTTATAGGGATTCGAAGGGTATAATCTCTAGGGTGAGTTACGGGCTGAATAAGGGTTATTGAGGGTTTTTTGTTGCTGTGTGTAATCTGTAATCTTGACAGTGATTTAGTGCAGCGAGCTCGTGTGTTTCCCGAGTTCAACGTGGACGTAGCTTGCTCAAATATAGAGCAAGTGAACCACAGTAAAATTCCGGTTGTTCTTGTGTGTGTGATTTGTGATTCTTGATTGTGATCTTTTGTTATTTGGTTGATTCTTGTGTGAGTGGTTATAACAGTGGTATCAGAGCCATTTCTTGCAGATTAGGGATTTTTTGTTTTTTACGAAAAATTAGGGTTTCATGAAATTAGGGTTTCGTAAAATTAGGATTTCTAGAAATTGGGGCTTTTCAAAACCGTGATTCCTTCTAGTCTCCAATAGGATCTAGGGAGTCAGATCTTGGCTAAGTTTAAAGGTATATAGGCTGGAAACCAGTAACTGCCTTAAAAACTGCCTGGTAGTAATTGGCAACTTCTGGTGTAACAATGCCGCGTACCTTCTTAGGTTTTTTTTTCTTTCTTACCATTATAGTATAATGAGTACTACTCGTATGGAGATCTCCCAATATGATGGGAAGATCGATTTTGGGAGTTGGAAGAAAAAGATGAAAGCATTGCTTTCTCACAACAAGGTTGCCACTGGGAGAAGACTTCGAAAAGTGGCCAGAGGAGAAGTTGAAAAAGAAAGAGGAGATGAATGAGAAGGCGTACAATCTGATAATCATGAATCTATCTGACAGCGTCCTCAGGAAGGTAGATGGAATTGAATCACCGATTGAACTCTAGGGTAAACTCACTACCTTCTATGCTTTGCAATCTGTCCCCAACCTAGCTTTTTTAAAGGGGGCTTTATTCTCTTATAAAATGGATAGTGGTAAGAGTATAGATGAAAACCTAGACGAGTTTCTGAAAATGACCTTGGTCCTAAAAGGGACAAACCAAGCTTTAGGAGAAACCAGCCTAGCCATGATTCTATTGAATTCCCTGATTGATGACTACCAGGTAGCCAAGAATGCCCTACAGTACTCGGGTACTGTACCAAATCTTGACCTAATAACAGCAGGACTTAGGGCCAGAGAATTAGAATTGAAAACCCAGAAACGAAATGGCACAAATCTGTTTGTTAAGAGTAGACCAGAACCTAGTTAAACTGGTAAAGGAAATCAGAATAATCAGGGGGCTAGAAATAAGAAAAAATGGAAGGGCAATAACAAGCATAGAGGAGAGTCTAGAAAATGCTTCTTTTGTAATAAAACTGGGCATATTAAAAAGAATTGTTTTGAGTGGATTAAAAAAAAAAAACAAGGGAATACTGAGAACAACCTAGCCACTACTAGAAACCTGGTAGAGGAATCTGAAGTACTTACTGTGTCAATGAATGACACTGGTGAAGAGTGGGTGCTAGACTCAGACTGTTCATTTCACATGAGTCCTAGGAGAGACTGGTTCCAGGAATTTGAAAATGTTGAAAATGAAACTGTTTACATGGGAAACTATAATGCATGTAGAGTAAGAGGGATAGGCACAGTGACTCTAAGGGCTGACACTGGAAAAATGGTAAAACTAACTAGGGTTAGGTACATACCAGAACTTAAAAGAAATTTGATATCCCTTGGCATCTTAGATGAATCAGGATGTTGTTATAAAGTAGAACATAGATGCTTGAGCATATATAGAGATAACAACATGATACTAAAAGGAGAGAAAAGAAATGGCCATTATATTCTTTGTGGGAACCATTCCCAAAACTGCTTTAATTCTGTGATTACTTCTACTAACTTGTCTAATATAGAAAAGTGGCACCTTAGATTAGGTCACATGAGTCAAAGAGGCATGAACATTCTGAAGCATAAAGGGCAGTTTGGTAAGGACAAGACTATACACCCCTCGAATTCTGTGAGAATTGTGTTTTAGGGAAACAACATAGAAATAGTTTCACCAAGGGTACACACCTAGCCACTAGTCCACTAGAATACATACACTCTGACCTTTGGGGACCTGGAAAAGTGAAATCTTATGGGGGAATAATTACTTTATGTCTCTGGTGGATGATTACAGTCGCAAGGTGTGGGTGTACCTACTGAAATCCAAAGATCAAGCTCTAGCTAGGTTTAAGGACTGGAAAACCCTAGTAGAGAACCAAATGGGAAAAAGGGTGAAGGTTCTTAGAACAGACAATGGGCTGGAATTCTATAACCAAGAATTTGACAAGTTTTGTTATGACCAAGGGGTTTTAAGACATAGGACAGTAACCTATACCCCACAACAGAATGGCATGGCATAACGAATGAATAGAACCCTCCTTGATAAAGTTAGGTGCTTGTTAATAACCTCTAAACTCCCTACCTCCTTTTGGGGAGAAGCCCTTACAATAGCAGCATACCTGGTAAATAGAAGTCCATCTACTGCAATAAACCTAAAGAGCCCTGAGGAAAGGTAGACTGGTAGAGTCCCAGCTCTAAGCCACCTAAGAGTTTTTGGGTGTGCAGCTTATGCACACACCACGGGAGGAAAATTGGAACCAAGGTCAACCAAGTGCATATTCTTGGGGTATCAAGAAGGGACCAAAGGTTATAGATTTTGGGATAGAGATTCTCCAGGGATTAGAATCATTGTGAGCAGAGATGTGGTATTCAATGAGGGAGTCTTTCCTTGTAAGGAAACTAGAACTAGAACTGACCCCATTACAAGTTCAGAGGATCTCTTCACCCAACCTGAAGTTACACCAATTGAGGTGGAGCTTCTTGCTCAAACTCAAACCAGCCAAGAAACTGAAGCTGTTATTGAACATGGAGGAGAAACTGGACAAACTAATCTAGAACATAAGGATGAGATAGAAACAATAGATGACACTAAGATTCAACCTGAAAACTTGCAAGACTACCAGCTTGCAAGAGACAAAACCAGAAGACAGGTAAGGGCACCCATAAGATATTCCTATGCTGATCTAATATATATTGCCCTCCTTACAGGTACTGAAGTACAAAGAAGAGAACCAAAAACCTAT